CTCTTCCTTTCTTTTCTCATTCTTTTTTTGTTGTTTTTTTTTTTTGGTACTGGGGATTAAACTCAGGACCTTGTGCTTGCCAGCCAGGTGGTTATGCCACTGAGCTATGTCCCCCACCCTCTTTTCCCATTGTTTATGGAAGTTTACACGTATTGTTAGAGGACAGAACTGTTGTATACTCTGTATGCTCTCATGCTCTTGTGCCTTTCGTTCATCCTTATTCTTTGCATAAATATGTATCGGATGCATATCACTGTCTTCATGGTGATGGCGCTTTTGTTAATTTACTTGTCTGATACAGATTCTCTAGTAGATTCCTTTAAGATTTATGAGAACAGTATTCTCTCAGTTCTCAGATCTTGCTGACAACTTTGCAGCAAGTGTCCTTTATACTTGAAAATCAGTTTTGTTGGACGTAGAATCATTAACTCAGACTTTTTTTCTTGAGCACTTTATACATTTATACATTGCTTCATTTTCTTTTGTTAAAAGGGTTGTTGTCAAAAAGTCTGGTGATGAACTGATTTTTTTTCTCTCTTTATAAATGACTTGTTCTTTTGCCCTGGATGCTCAAAGAACTTCTGAGTTAATTCTCTCCCCCAGGGATAGTGTGCACTTTGTATGTGTGTATGTCTGTGTGCATGTTTGTGTGTGTGTATATATCAATGAATGCACATATGTATGCAGGCAAATCCCTCCCTGCGTGTGTAACATTTCAAGAACATTTTGTTGAAAGGAACTAGTTAGGGTTTTTTTCTGGTCCCTACCTTTGGTTTTCTTCTTTAGAGATTCTTATATATTTATATTCAATCTTTGCCTGTGTTTAGCACTTGTCAATACTCATTTCTTTTTAAATTTTTAAGAAATTTCCTCGTATTCTTTGTATTTTAAGGTGGTATATGTTGTAATTATTTACCTCTGTATTTCTTCCACTTTAAAATTTTCTGAAGTAAAATTTTCTTTAATTTCCTAATCTTGCCTGAATTCTGTCACCTATTTGTGGATTTCCTAATTCTGATTTTGTTCATTCTTTGATAACTTGTATCATTTTCATAATGATATTTATCTTTTTTGGATATACATTATATAATTTTCATTTATTTTGAGGGCATGACCTTTTTGCTAACCTTGTCTGTAAAGGTGCTATTTGTTTCTCTCTTTCTCTTTCTTGTCTTTGTCTCTCTCTCTCTCTCTCTTTCTCTTTTTCTTTCGCTCTCTTTCTCTTTTTTTTGTGGAACTGGAGATCGAACTCAGGCTCTTGCACTTGTCAGAGAAGCGCTTAGTCCACTGAGCCATCCCCAGTCTCTCTCTTGCTCTCGCTCTCACTCTCGCTCTCTCTCTCTCACTCGCTCTTGTGACCTTGCACTTGCCTGGCAGGTGCTTATGCCACTGAGTTATATCCTTGACCCTTTCAGTCTTCTCAAAAAATTACTCCTTTATTTGTACTTGGGTACAGTGATATATATATATCTATATATATATAATGTGTAGTGATCAAATCAGGGCATTTAATATTTCTATTTCCCTGCCATTAGTTTATGTTTGGATGCCTTAAACTCTTATACTTTTTCATAAAATATATAATAGATTATTGTGAACTGCAGTCACCCTGCTGTGTTTTAGAACATTAGAACCTAGCTCCTACTAATCGGTTTTGAAACTGTCTCATTGCTTTTTGTTTCTCAATAAAATTATTTAAAACAAAAAAGAACTTAACTGTGCTTTGGTAGCCGTATTCCCTCTCCCTGTACTCCCATTCTGTGCCCTTCCCAGCCTCTGGTAATTACCAATCTGTATTCACATTGACTTTTAAAAATCCACATATGAGGCAGTAACTGGGATTGCCAGCTTGCCACCATCATGCCCAGCAGAAAGATAGTAAAACTATCTTTAGTCCGAAGTTACAAAATAATTTATCTATGACTTGGCCTAGTACATTAATGTTATTCTTTCCATGTAAATATCTGATCCATGCAGAATTCATCCTCTTGTGAGGTGTGATATATGCCCCAACTCTTTTTCCTACTAGAGAGCCTACTGTTGTCCCATTTATCATTTATGAAATCATCTTGTCCTCGTATGCTCATGGGAACATGGGCTAAAGGAAAGACCAAGGAGAATGGCCCTCTAGGCTTCGAGTCATTGGGTGGATAGCAGTTTACCAAGTAGGGAGGAATTAGGAAGAACCAAGTTTGTAGGGTAATTTAGAAATGTGTTTGGGCATGTCTGTCAATCTTGACATGTCTCAAGTGGAGAGAAGGAATGTTTGGAGAGAGTCTTTAAAAATACATGGCATTGCTGCATGAATGATGAATGTTTGTGTCATAAACGACATCTTCAATGTATTATATTATTGCTTGTCGAAAATAAATGTATAGAAAATTTAGGGATGCTACATCATAAAAAACAATAGTAATTGACTCTCAAGTAGGAGATCAGGTGTACAGATTGGCAAGACATGTACTTTTGATTGACTTTTTTTTCCTATATGCATTTTTATAGTTTTCTAATTGTTATAGATTGTTATTCAATAAATAAGTACTTAATATGCACTTCTAGATATTTACAATAGCAACAGATCTTCAGAATTCCAACTACATCACCTTGCTTTTACCCCTAGCATCTGTGTTGCAGGAAGGGGCTGGTAAAAGTTAGCTTATTTCTTTATTTACCAGATCAAATGCAGATAGTAAAAAAATCTTGAAAACTTCTAATTCATCTTGTATTGGAAACTTAGAGATAACTACTTAAATTGATTCAAAAGTATTACTTAACAGTGTCATGATGGAAGTAGTAGGAAAATAAGATTTCTTTTTGTGTTTGTAGTACATGATGATAACATTCCTTGTGGGGAGTTGGTACATGTATATAACACATCTTAGTTTTCTTTACTTGCACCCCATCCCAATCTCTTGGTCTTCTTCCCTTTTTCAAAAGATGTGTTTCGTGTTATTTTTTATGTTGCTCTGTATATTTTGAGTTTCTCATAAAAGAGAACCATGTAATATTTCAACTTGTGTGCCTAATTTATTTCACCTAACATTATCGTCTCAAGATCCATCAGTTTTCCTACAGATTTATCTTTATGATATATATATATATTTTTTTTTTCTTATCTGTGTATTTATGTATCATCTGTTCATCAGTTCATGGATATGTAGGTCATTTCCAGGATTTAGAGGTTATGAGTTATGCTGCTGTAAACATAGGTATGCAGTGTATCACTGTAATATAATGTCTTTAACTCTTTTTGGGAAGATACCTAGAAAAGGAATAGCTTGGTCAAATGAATTTCTAGTTTTTGCTTTTTGAGGAATCTCTATACAGATTTCCATAGTAGTTGTACTAGTTCACATTCTTACCAATAATGTAGAAGGGTTCCTTTTTCTCCACAACCTCCTCACTCTTTGTTGTTATGTTTTTTATGATAGCCATTCTTTCTAGAATATGATGGAATCTTATAGTTGTTTTAATTTTCATTCCTCTAAAGACCCAAGATGTTTAACATTTTTTCATGTATTTAATTGGCTATTTGTACTACTTCATCTGAGACATATCTGTTCATCTTACTTGTCCATTTTTTATTGGGTCTTCTATTTTGGGAGATATAATTGTTTTGGGTTCTTTATATATGCTAGATTTTATTCCTCTGTCTTAGGAGTAGCTTGCAAAATTTTTTCCATGTGTAGTTTATCTCCTTACTCTTGGTTCTTTCCTTTGCTAAACAGAAACAGCTTTTTAATTTGATATAATCCCATTTGTTGATTCCTGTTATTTTTTGTGCAGTGAGGGATCCGTTCAAAATGTTCTTATCTATGTGTAAGTTTACCTATTTTATCTTCCAGTTGATTGTTTCTGTTTTGATATCCAGGTCATAGATCTACTTTGATTTATGTTGAGAGATGTGGATATAGATTCATTTTTTCCCCACTTGGTACCAGAAATCAAACTAGGGACCTTGCACTTGCCAGGTAGGCCTTTATGCCTGCTGAGTAGATTCATTCTTCTTGGTGTGGTTGGCCAGTTTTCTCAGCCCTGTTTGATAAAAAGATGATCATCTTTCTTTTAGGGCAGTAATGGTGAACCTTTTAGAAATGAGTGCCCAAACTGCAACCCCAAGCCCACTTATTTATCATAAAGTGCCCATACTACAATTAAACTTGAATACTGAGGTTTTGGTTTGGAAAAGCCAACTTCTCATATATTAACATCTTTTATCTTAAAAGAAGAATGAGTAACACTCATGTTATAGGGTATGTTTTTGGCCCGTAGGATGGCTGAACATGCCTGGGGCTATTTCTGTATCCTCTGTTCTGTCCCATTGATGTCTATCAGTTTTTCTGCCAGTACCATGGTCTTTTCATCTTTATGGCTTATGTAATATAGCTTTGAGATCCAGGATTTCATTGCCCCCTGCTTTCCTCTAGATGCCCAGTATTACTTTTGCTATTCTGAGTTTCTTCTCGTTCCATATGAATATTAGGACTGTTTTTTTCTATTTCTGTAAGGAATCCTACTGGTATTTTGATGGGGATTCCATTAAATCTATATATCAGAAAAATAGGATTCTCATATCTAAATATATTGGTTTTTATCCTGAATCTCAGTTTTTGGTCTGATTCTTTCATTTATTTATAAGCTGTGGGAGTGTAGACAACCTGATGATGCTAAGCCCCCATTCTCTTAACTTTAAATAACAAACTTTTGCCGTACTAGGGTTTTTAATGAGGATTAAATGATATAATGTATGTAAAATATTCTCTAACCTGAGGATCAGCAGATTTGCTCAGAAAGGCCAAAGTAGTACATACGTATTTTTGGTTTGGTTTGGTTTTATAGACCTTATAGTCTTCCTCCCTACTTCTCATGTCTGCCTCTGTAGCAGGAAAGATAAAGTGGTAGACTGCATTTATGCTGAGGGCAAGTAATTGAAGGCACCTGCTGTAACTTATAAAGCACTGTGTAAATGTTGAGTAATTGTCATGACTTTCTCTCTTCAGGCTAATGTAATGCTTGAGTACGATATTGATGAAGCTCAGGCTTTGTTGGAAAAGAATTTATCAACTGCCACGAAGAACCTTGATTCTCTTGAGGAAGACCTTGACTTTCTTCGAGATCAATTTACTACAACAGAAGTCAGTATCCTTTCTTTAAAAAAATGAAAGAGAAGGCAGAAATTTTAAAAATTATTTTATTGCTTTAATAGAATGTGTTTAGGTTAATGAGTCTACAGATTTGGCAGTGTATTTGAGTCTAATAAGTTTACAGATAGATTAATGAATTTGAAAAGTGATAGTATAGAAATTCACGTTGGTGAGCAAATATTTTTCTTTTGCATGTTTTCTGAAGACACCTTTATGGCCAGTTAAATAGCTTAATCCTACAAGCATTAATTAAGAATCTTTTGTGTTTTTGCAGCTGTGGTAATGGCATGGAAATCAGTGTGATGAAAACCAAGTTGCAAGGTGTTTCTCTGTTAAAGCTGCACACATCATATACAACCCCAACACAATTTAAAGTTTGGAAAGACCATTGTGAGCTGGAGGGCTTTGTTGAGATGATGAAACTTAGGCTGCTTTTAGAGGCCATCTAGAGAAAGGGTAAAGTGAGGTGTTCTGGTCAAGAAGATAGACAGGCATGTTGAAACCCAACTCTTTAACAGTTCTCTGAGCTCTCTCTTTCTCTGGTTGCTCTCAGTCACTTAGTATAAAAATCTGGTGGTCATCCTTCACATGTCTCTCTTCTTACTACCAAGAGTTCTAGCCCTCCAGAGCATGTACTCAGTAGTTTTCTATGTTTTTCACACTAACTCTATCATGAGGTTACTAAATAATTATATTATTTTTAATCTTCTACTTTTAATATTTGAGTAGTTAATTATTATATGTGAGTTATACAGATAGCTGCTCAATTGTCCCTGGCAGACTTGCCTCATGCCATAACCTTTACCTGCCCTGGTTCATCCCCATTACACCGTAAGTTCCAGATAACTACAGTCAATATTTCTCCTTACCCTTATAGTGTACCATGCCTTTTGCCTTTCTGTACCATGTTCTTCCTGCCTGGAATGATTTCCCCTCCTTCACCTGGGGGTATTCATTTATTTTTCATACCTCAGTAAAACATCTGAACATTCCTTACATTTTTTCTAACCTCCTCAGGATGTTTTGTTGTTTTTCTCTGTTTATTTAGCACTTTGTACTTAGTTTTTGTTTTCCTTGCCCAATCATGAGGTCTTTAGTATAGGAACAATTTAAAAGTTTCTTTCTTCTCCAGCAAATAGAAGAAATGTGGTAGGTGCTTAGTACCTGAGTGCAAGAAGCCAGGCCTGTTTGAGGCCAAGTGCAGGGATCATCATCTAACTGGTAATGAAGAGACCGTTATCTATCTGTGAGGTGATAGGGACCTGGGAGGGCTGGTATTTTTGGAAAAATGTTAAAATATGAGAGAAAAATTGTGACTTAGTTTTAGGAACTAAAAGAACATCACCTAAAGAGAGTCTACAAGCTTAGAGAAATGCTACCATTATTGTTAGTGTTGGAAAGGTTAGGATGGTGTACAGACATGTGCCAATCTACTGGAATCTAAGCTCCATGAGAGGAAGACTTAGCTGTCTTACTTACCTAAGGCCTAGTCTGAAACACAGTAGATGCTCAACAAACTGAATGAATGCTTCTTAAAGCAAAGGGAGAATAAGAATAAAGTCATTGATAATTGTACTAATTATAGTGAATACTGCATGGCAGGATATGAGTTGAGTAATCTGAAATTTTATGGATAAGATACTGTCTTTAAAACTGTTGAGCCAGGCATGGTGGCACACACCTATAGTCCCGGTTACTTGAGAAGCTGAGGCAGGAGGATCACTTGAACCCACAAGTTTTAGGGCAGCCTGGATAACATAGCAAGAACTGTCTCAAAAATAATGTGGAGGGCTAGGGAGATAGCTTGGCAATCTAAGTGCCTGCCTGGCAAACTCTATGACCTGGGTTTGATCCCCGGTACCACATGCCATGCTGATCCTAGAACCCCAGGTGAGCTGTGCTGGCCCTGAAACTGAGCGTGGTGGTGCACACCTGTAATTCCACTACTGGGGAAGCTGAAACAGGAGTATCACTGCAAGTCTGAGCTGTGTAGTGAGACCCTGTACCAAGTCAATAAATAGATTTAAAAAATGTTGAGAGTATCTGTCACATATTTATTAAATATAATACCATACTTGACTAGATACACTGAAGGAATATTGACTGGAGGTTTTGACTTAGTTTTGGTAGAATTTAATTCCAGTTCTTTCTTAACAATATAACAAAGTAGCTGACAATGCTAGTTATTACCAGTTTGTATTTGTGTGGTTTCTGTATTTTTTATTCATGACACTTTGCCATTGCATATATTATCTTTAGAATTGCATTTATATTTTCTTTGACAGTTTTTGCAGATATGGCCAGAGTTTATAATTGGGATGTCAAAAGAAGAAATAAAGATGATTCTACCAAGAGCAAAGAATAATACTAGCTGGCAATTAAAAATGTGACTCAGTTTTCCAAACGTGTAATGTTAAAATTCCCCAGCATTTTTCCTTCAAGATTGACATAACTTTGAGTGTTTTTTTAACAAGAATGATTAAAACTTTAAAAACCCCACCATTTTATTTATTTATAAAAACAGAATTAGTCTCAAATACTTTATGAAATTAACAGTATTTTTTCACATTCCAAGTGAAATTAATAGTGCTTTCCTCTTTTGTTTTCCATCAGTTATAAAAGCAACTCCTAACTGAAATCAGAGGAAAACTGTGAGGTATGCTATAGAAGCTGAATGCTGGGCATTAGCACACTTTACTTCTTATTGACTTATGTGGTTAAACCATTTTCAAGGTAGAAAAGACAGTTTCAGTATTTGTAAGCTTATTTTTTTAGTACTTGTAGGACTTTATAGTCCTCTGTTCCTGTTGTCTCCTGTCATTGGGGTTTTGTGAGGTACTGCTTGACCAATAACTATTACGATATCCTGAACTTTCAGCAACTGCTAATTTGCCTTCCTACATAGTAAGAGGGCTCCTGCTACAACACTTCTAACACTTCTACACAGTGTCTTTCCAGTGCCAGAATAAGGGAGATCTTGGCCAATGTGAAGTAGTACTACACGTGTGAAACCCTTAGCTAAGGAATTTTATATTTCTTAACAGTTCTCTAACATAATATTAAGATAAGTGTAAATCTGCAGTGGTTAAATAAAATTGTGAGCCTTTTTATTCATGATAAACCTGCATAGGAATAGCAAAAAGAAAAAAATCCCTGTGGAAAGCCATTGGTACAGTGGCAAATACTGGGTAGTACAGATTGGAGTAAAAACACAAATGTATTATTCCATCTCTGTGTAGTAAAAAATATACTTGTACAATGTTTTGTACTTGTATTTTGTGTTATTAAAGCAAAATAGTGATATTGAAACTGTGGCATGTGACACTTTTTCATGGCCATTCTTTTTGTTTTAATCTGTTTGGGCTGCTATAATAGAATAACATTGACAGGGTGGCTTATAAACAACAGCTGTTTATTTCTCATAGTTCTAGAAGTAGGGAAACCTAAGATCAAGGTGCTGATAAATTCACAGTATAACGAGGGTTTTGTTGTTATTCATAGCACCTTTTTGCTGTGTCCTCACATGGTGGAAGGGACTAAGGAACTCCTTTGGGCCTTTTCTGTATGGGCACTAAATGTTGTTCATGACGGCTCTGCTCACTTCCCAAAGGTCCTATGTCCTACTGCTATCACCTTGGGGGTTTGGATTTGAACAACTAAATTTGGGGATGACATGAATATTCAGACCACAGCCATTTTAATGAAGTTAACAAGGGTCTTTTCACATATTTACAAAATTTATTTACCTGTGCATTACTAGCATGTTCTAAGACCTTATTACATAGAAACAACATAAAATCACTTTGGAAACAGTACTAGTAAGCAAGCAATTAAGAGATTAATCTGAGTGATACTAAAGTTCTTTGTTTCAGTTTTTCTTTTGTAATTTTAAATTCACATAATAGGAAGAAACACTGTTTTAAATTCCCTCTCAATATGTCTTACATTTCCTTTTTTTGTAGAATATTCTTTTTTTAAATAATTTTATGGATAAACAGATAGCAATGACACAGTTCCAAATCAAATCGCCAGGACAGTTTCAATAACCAACACACTGCATACATTCTTCCCAGTGGTTAATTGCTGTACAAGATGCGGACTTGAGATCCTATTTACAAACACCATTAGAACAAATCATTCTATTCATTAAG